GCACGCACCGGGGCAACCGGCTCTTAAGGGCTCCAGCTATTCACACGCACCTGTAAATGATGTGATCAGTGGTTTCAGGAAAACACGCGCGACAAACAACGATGTGGCTTAATCTCCAGATAGCGTCACAAAATACTGGTGTTTGGTCCATGTGATTTTGAAACTTCACGGCTTGTCAAGGCCTTTCTTCATTATATACATCCGCATACGTTATACTATGCTGCGCTATCATATCACGTAACTTGGTCATCCCAGCTTTCGGATACCACTTTTAGTTTGTTCTTTGCATACCACCAATCACAGTAGATTTGGTCTCGCAGTGTGCAAGGTTTGGCCGGAAGGTCCTGCTGGTGCACGAGTGGAGGCAGCCGAAAAGGAGCCTTCCAGTCAAAGGTTGCGCAGGATTGACACACCTTTTCCGCTAATTTGTCAAATTGGACAATTTGGAAACAGCAATGTTTTATTCAACGAAGCTCAAATGAATATCGATTCCTGCAATGTATATACATATGACAAGACAAGACCTTTGTTGCGCTGTTCGACAATGTTTGATGCCTCTAGATTTCGATGTTTCGACTCATCGAGGCGCTGCGGCCTCTTTCTGCTCAGGCGCGGCGTCTTTCTGGTAAAGCACCGATGTTTGTCATCCTTTCGGGGAGAGATACCTTACATTACCTTCCTGCATACATGGAAGTTGTTTTAATCCAACAGACTCCCTGTGTGAAAGTCGAACGTTTACTTTAAATTCCCTCCCAAGGGTTGCACATCAAGATTGGACAACATCAACCGCTTCGGTCAGAACCGGGTTTCCTGTGAATCCAGCAGTGGGGTCACAAAAGCTTTAGTGCATCACTCACACGACATGTGGAGATATTCGCAGCAGCTTTCAAGCGATCAAATTTATTCACCCAAGAATTTCAACTTACTGTAGTGAGAAATCCTCACGACAAGGGCCATGTGGAAACGAAGCGGATTTGCCGCATCTCAGGTTCTACCACGCCATAAGACCTTCCTGAGCTTCCTCAAAGGCGTGGGTTGCGGTCAAAAGTCACAGGTGTTTTTCGACCGAAGCCTCTTCGCTTGGCTTCGCTTTTCGCCACACCTTCACATGTTTTTCACAAACTGGACGGTCACTCGTCTTGATCCCAAACCCGGTATACCGGTATACCCGATCTTACGAGTCCAACGTTCTGCGGCCTGTTTTTCAGACAGGTCAGTCGATCCGATCCGAAATCTGGTACGTTACTAGGTAGGCGTTGGAGGCCGTCGCTCGTAGGGAGGAGGCCATCTCCTTTACAGAAGCGGTTTGGCAGGGAAGGGTTGAAGGCAACAGTCCACAGTTGAGGCATGCGGAGTCCACAAGTGTCTCAACTCCACATTGCTGTCATTCAGGGATCCGTTGGCGTTGGTAGCTGCTAACCCAAACTTTGAGTTTTCCGAAGAATGCAAAAGAAACCTGCCGGCCAGGTCTCTTTCAGCAACTGGGCGCCGAATCCTTTTAAGCATTCCTCCTGAGTTGACAACAAATGGTTGGACTAGGATGAACATACTAAGCAACTCAGCTAGACACTGAGATGTGATGATTCCTTGTTGATACTGTTGAGATTCGTTATCACACGGATCAAGGGTTGGAAGTGGTTCACATAGAGGTAACCGGATTTTGCTGGGCAGACATCAACGCAGCGTTCAGCTTACAAAGTAACATAGTCACAAGATCAGCATCGTTTACACGAGGAATCTAGAGTCTCCTTGTGCACAGATAGATGTGCGAGGTGCAAAGCTATTGAAGGCGCTCGCTTTTGTGGCTTTGGGTCTTTGGATTGAGATTCTTCCGTCTCCGGTCTAGTGGCATGTATGCCTTTGTATTCTTTCAGTGTAACTTTGTTTGCGTGTCAAGCAATAAGGACCACCGGCCATGGACAGGTCCATTTTAGACGAAACCTCCCACATTAACATGACACTGTTGCTAGTCAAGATAGCTTCCTTAGTATCCCAACAGTCCTCAAAAAGGTGATCCCTCCAAAGAATGCTTCATTGGCTTTTGGGCCTGCCTATCCCTATCCCTATCCCTTTTGGATGAATCGTTCCAGCACCGCACAGACTTGGTTGCCGGCTTTTGCCGACCTTGTTCTGAGATCACTGAGGCTGGAACCTTTGCAGCGGTTAAGGGCGACTCAAGCACATCAGATGGAATTCCTCACCACGGAGGCATTCTTGCATGGGATACTGAGATACTGTTTGTGATGTGTCTATTTTTCTCTTTATGAGGCCGTTTTGAATTTGTGATGTTTTACCTTGGAGCCATTGGAGCAATAGACACAAATGGTCCCCGAATAGATTGAGAAAAGGGAACTATTCACAGAACAATACTGTACTTGCATATGTGTATGCATATATCATGAAAGCCAGCCGGTAGGCACGGAGCGAACGAAGTGATTAAAGGGGGTGTGTGGGGGGGTGGTCGCGAGGTGGCCAATTCCGGAGAGGTGAACCCAGAGCCTGGCGGCGGAGAGCGAAAAAAGAGGCGGGCCACTTGGTAGTGAAAAATGAGTGTTTTGAGGGGTGTTATGATGCTGGTGATGTAATTGACGGCGAAGAGTGCATCATCAGCATCACGAGGGGCTCAGGAGGCCATGGAAAGAGAACAGACTGTAGTTGCGGCTAAGCTTAGCGTTGCTGTCAGGCTGAAGAGGGCACTCCCTATGCGGTGGGAGTTCACGTGAATTGGGGGGTTGTTGAGGGCAGGAGAGAGAAGAGAGTGCGTGATGCCATCTGTTGAGGGCCTGCGAGAGAACCGAACTGACGAGGGAGTTCACGTGGACTGGGGGGTTGGGGCAGGAGAGAGAAGAGATTGCAGCGGGCAAGCGTTGGAGGCGGAAGGTCCTGAATAGCTGGTGCCCTCTTTTATCCGTAACAAGGTCCAGTTGCTGGACTGAAAAGGGCACCCCACATCCATGGGGTGATGATGAACCGGGATGAAGCGGCACTCCCTATGCGGTGGGAGTTCACGTGGATTGGGGGGTTCCTGACTTTGTTACGTCGACTCTATATGGATTTCAATCCGACTCGTGCCTCGTCGGGCCACTGTGCAGCACTGCGTCGCCCTGCACGGGCTGTGCAAACGTCCGAAAAATGGACACCCCAGATTCGACCATCGTCTTGAGTTTGTGCAATCTCCTTGCTGTACCAGTCACATGTGTCATCTTGTACAGTTATTGAACTATTTTGTACCTATGACATTCCACGTTGCATCCATACCACAGAGCTTAGCAGTTTGGCGCCCTCTGAAGTGGCCAGCTGCTGCTGGATCCAAGCTTGAATGAGAACAAGGGGATATCTGATCACGAAAGCCAGCTGTCAACTCACTTGAAACATAGACGAACACACCATACCCAACCTTCCCCAGACTACAAGGGTGCCATTTTCCCCTCCACAACGCCCCGACATCGAGACACTAAGGGTCACCCATCCGAAACCTCTGTATTCTACTCTCTATTTCCATTCTTTCTCGACTGACGGCCATATCCACTTCACCGCTTCCAGCTCCTCCTTGTCCATATATGTCCTCACGAAAGCCTATCGATAGCCTCGCCCACGACCGTCTCTGGTCACTCATTACCAACACGCAGCTGACGAACTCACATAAAATCTTTGAGGGTGCCCTTTTTCACCTCCAAAACACTCCTGAACCAGGACGAAAAAGGGCTCCCCCCTTTTTATTCTACCGTCTGTTTCTACCCCCCTATCGTACCTGCGGTGCCAACTTCGCCCCATAAACGTACTCTTTACATAATGTTAGCCTATCACTTCATCTTGCGCACTCAAGTCGCTCCAATATCAACCTCACCACTTCCGGCTACTCTTTGTCCACTCTACATACATACATACATGCATACATACATACATACATACATACATGCATACATACATACATACATACATACATACACACATCCTCACCTACCCTACCCATAGCCTCACACATGAACCCCCATTGCCGTCTTTGTTCACTGATTCGCAACACGCCGCCGGCAAGCGCGCCGCACTTGCTTAGGGGTGCCCTTTTTCACTTCCAAATTGCCCCTGAACCGGGATGAAAAAGGGCACCCCCCCGCAAACCTTCTACTTTCAATTTCTACCCCTATCAGTGTGGCGGTGATGTCAACTTCACCCCATGAAATTAATCTTTGCCCGATTTTACCCCATCACTTCCTCTTGCACGCCAAGTCTTTGCCCGGGCCTGCGCTGAGTAAGCCAGAGGCTGGCTTTCGTCCCCTCCCTTCTCAGGTATATATATAAATTTATACATATATATATTTACTGTAGATACATTCTGGGATCATTACATTAGCATAGTCCGGTTGGAGAGGTGCAGGTCAGTGGGTCAAGGAAGAAATAGCCATTCAGGTAGGGAAGAAGTCTCCCGATGCGCGTGAAATGACTTTAGTGACCGGCAATCACTGGACCAGTCACAAGTTATCCCAGAATTCTCATTTCAGGTGCAAGAATGACTGGACCACAACGTTCAACTTGGAGGACAAACCGCTGACGACCGCTGGCGTGGGCGGTGCCACCGCCCAAAAAGGATGTGGCTGTCATTGCGCCGAATGGCGACTTCGAGTATCACCGGTATTAGAAAAGGGATGAACAAAAAGCAGAGAAGGACCCCTTCAATGCTGGCCCTTTAAAGGGGCCCTTACCTGGTTGTCACAGGAATCATTGTAACTACTTGGCAACGTGAGGTTGTGAGACATGTCACCAGTCTCGTCAGGCGTCACGAATGCTTGGCCCAAGCAACGGCGAAGGTCGTTCAGGTAACTTGAGCTAAGATAATGTCCTCGAAACAGCCATACATGCACCCACACATGACATTCAGCCAGCCACTCATCCCAACACCACCAAATGCATTTGTGCACAGATGATGAGATTTATGCATTTGCAGACAAGTGCAGAGCATTGATGTCAAGTTCGCATAGAGGCACTCTTGGGAGTCCATGTGCATTTTTGTTGTGCGATCCGAATGGACGATTTGCAAAGGTGTTGGAAATCAAAGAGCACAGACTACAGACCTAGGGATAAAGACTACAGACCTCACTGCCATTTTGGAAGTGGAGTCTTGGCCCAGCCATGGCAGAGACGGACTCATGGCCGCAAGTCACGTCTTTGGGTTGGTCCCCTGAAAGGCCCAGAAGCGCTCGAAGTGTATTCGAAGTGTATGCATCAGGCAAAGCAATGGAAGGCTGCTTTCGGTTCGGAACTGGTTGCCATGCCCAAAGAGGAACTGGGTGGCAAGATGACAGACAATCCAAAGAGGTGCTTGGGATATGTCTTTTTGGAGGCTGTGCTTCTCACTATTTCAATCTATGGATCCTACAACGTGGAAGGAAAGACACTCTGCTTCCCAGGCCAACATGCTAGGGCCCGTTTTGATGCTGCCACATCAAAAACATCAAGGTGTTTTGGCACCGCTCGGACTTGAATCTTCATGATGAATCACCTCACTCCCGCTTGGTGTATCTCTCGTAAGATCAGACATGTTTTGTTCGCTTCAGCCAAGGATAGCGAGGAGGAAGAGGTGGAGGAACCAGACTTCATTCCGCCACCTCCTTCAGTTGTCAGAGACTTAGAAAGGACACGTAATCTTAAGTTTCCCTCAAAATCTAGGAACCAAATGAATAGTGGGAGCTCTTCTTCAAGGAAGCTCAAAGGTGGCGGGGAGCTTCCTTGAAGAAGCGTGAGCTATCCTGCGTCCTAGCTAGGAGCGTCCTACTTAATGGCTACTATAGCTACCTCTTCCTCATTGTCCCTTACTTAATTGAGTAGGTGTTTAGTGAGTTATGCAAGTAAGGGTGGGCTAAAAAAAAGAAACGTCCTGGCGGGTCTCGTTGCATGATCGTCTCAGGTCGCTCGCACTCAGAGGCAGAGCGTCTCTGCTGAGGCCTTTGGGGAATGGCCGCTTGGCATTTGATAAACCGCTTTCGGATTCTGCCCAACGTCCATCGAAACTAGTGACCTTGCTAAAGTCTGAGGAGGACGTCGTGTATATAAGCGTTAGAGTTCAAAGATGTGTGATCGAAAGATACCTCAATGTTCACGAAAGGTAGCCCTTCAGGGGATACCTTGAGTTTGTCTTGCGAAGCAAGTGTGGGCTCCTCTGGATCTAATAATTGATAGTTCAATCCCACCCCCCCCTTCGAACTGATTTTTCAATACAGACCCCCCGCCCCTTAGAATTGATTTTTCAATACAACCCGCCCCCCTCCCCCTGACCGCTTCATCCCGAAGTGGATCACCTCGACACCGCGATGGTTATTTGGTGTTGAGCACTCTAAGCTTGGGGCAGTGTTTGAGTGCATGAAGAGACATGACATGTTGTTTTTAGTGCTTCTTGTCGATGAGGATTATCATATATAGATCAAACTTTGGTCTTTTCCTCCATTCTCAAGTTGACGTTTGATTCGACTCCACCAACACCACACTGCATATTTTACATGCTTATTCTCCTCCCGCTGTCCTACCTTTCGTGTATCCCTCTTCTCAAGTTTTCGTCACTTAAAGTGAGGATACTGCCTGACGGACTTTCGCAAGGTTAAAGCAATGGGGTGTACTGAAACAAGTTCATCTCAGGGGAAGCCACACTTGCACTTGTCTCGCACTGTCTTGCCAAGGAACCAGCGGGTCATTTTTGAACCGCCAGTGTACCCGAAGACGTTGGGGCGCCAGAGCAGTTGAGACAAAAGAATGTGGCAAAGCCTTCGCGGAGGAGTTTTGAAGGAGTAAGGCGGCTTTGCCTGTTGTAGGTAGAGGGCCTGGGAAAAGCTCCATGCCATGATGTGGCAAGTTGGCATCAAAGCCGGTTACACGAGGCAAATTTGGCTCAGAAGATGGATGGTGTGCTCAATTCGCTTCGCAGTTGAATTTGTCGCGTAAAACATCCTTTTTCTGTGCCGACCAGAGTGTCAGCAGCGATGCCATACCAGCTCATTTCAAGCGAGGTTCAATAGAAGTAAACTGTTTGCAAGCGTCTAGATTGGGGTCATTAAAAGCCTATGCATGCTGCATACCATATCATTTGATCATCGTTTTCACCGAGGCCAGATCAGACGCAGGGGCTGCTAGAGGCAGGGATTCGATTGTGTGTCCATTGGCGTGGAAAGGAAGCAGGTCACTTTCAATAGGCAATTGAAGCATGCTCTTGTTCTATGTGTCCTTGTATTTTGGTTTATAATGTCTTTTTTTGGTGTGTGTGTGTTGGATATGCTGCGACCAAAGAAGTAGTATATTGCTAGGCTTCACACATTGTCATGCTTGCAGGTGACATCTCGTTCCTTTCTTTTTACCTCTTTGGAGGAGAAAGACTTGCGCGTTGGAAGCGCCCAGTGGTTCTGGGTGGGAATACAGAAAGAGCGCAGCTTCTAGTCGTTTGCAAAGAAGCTTGGTCTTGGAACCTTGCTACAAGCAAAGGGCATCGCTACTAGGAGCAAGGACGCTACTAGGAGCAACTAGCATCGCTACTAGGAGCAAGGACGCTACTAAGGGGCGCTCCTGGCCTTACTCCTAGGAACAAGAGCGCTACTAGGAGCAAAGGGCATGGCTAGTAGGGGCAAGGACGCTACTAGGGGATCCTGGCCTTACTACTAGTAACAAGAATGCTACGTTACTAGTAGCAAAGGGCATCGCTACTAGGAGCAAGGGCGCTACTAGGGGCGCTCCTGGCCTTACTCCTAGGAGCAAAAATGCTACAGGAGCAAAGAGTATCGCTACTAGGAACAAGGACGCTACTAGGGGCGCTCCTGGCCTTGCTCCTGGGAACAAGAACGCTACTAGGAGCAAAGAGTATCAAGCCTTGTTGAAAGCCCATCGGCCCAAAGACCCCCACCGGCTGAGGTGGTGATCGCGGCCATGAAGGGCCCGCTCCTGTTAGAGCCAGGTGGGATGAGGGCTGCTGGGCCGCTGGGCCACCCCGAAGATATGAAAAGCCCATGAAAGACCATTGATGCCTTTTTGGGTGACAGAAATCCACAGAAGTCCTTGCAGCCTTCATAAAGGTTGGAGCCCATCCGTTGTGCCCCACAGCAGTCCAAGTAGCGCAAGCCTGGCAGAGTTGCCGCCAGGAATGCGGGTGATCCAGGAAGGAGATACTGGAGATGCTCTTTATGTTGTGACGGACTGCGAGGGATCAGCAAGGGTCCAGAATTGAACAGAGAGCATTGGCTGTTAGCTGAACTATAGACATAGGAGAATAGGAGGCTGCATCCAGTATACAAGCATTGTTCATGTTCATAAATAGCAAGGTCTTCTTCCATAAAGACACGTATCAGGACAGGTTTTGCTATAGGGCACTGCTTGTTTTGCCAATACTTACATATATTTACCCGGTGAGATCATAAACGTTAACCAGTGATAGCTAGCCGCTGGCCAAAATTCCCTCCGGATCAAGGCTGCAACCTTACTGAAACTTCTCTCTCTCATTTGCAGGAGGGGCAGATGGATTGCATCAAGGTCATTGACGGGGCTGAACTCGTGCTTTGGCAATGACAGGAGTGGTGAAGTTTTCTTCGAACCTCGAACAATGAGGTAGTGAAGACCTGCACCAAGGGAGATCTTTTTGGTGAGCTGGTCGGGCACATAGCTGATCGAGCACGCTTCTTGCATTTGCATGACTACGACGGGTTTTGAGGATGGTCTACTGGGCGTCTTACGCATCACATGCTCGCAATCTTTCCTTTGTGACAGCTTAGGTGTTTGTTTCAGCATATCGTCGCTATGTCAGTAAGTTACAATCCTCTTCATGTCTGATATAAGGCCTTGCTCTACAACTGTCCGCGGGCTGCGAGTGTGCAGTGTCGCGAGGAGAGGGCGGCGCAACACAAACGGGCTCTGAGACACCAAGCGACGTTGGCAGATAAAGAACAGAATCAGGCATATCTATATATCATATATCTATATATGTAGTATGTAGTATGAACGAAATGTGCTTTTAGATAGAGTACAAGTGCTCCTCCATTGTCATCACGCCTGAAGAAAAATCGAGCTGACAACACAGCGGCTGTTGCGCATGTTTGACCGTCAGCGATGGTTCGGTTCTCGTTGCAGCAGGCATCTGTGCTTTGGGAGTTGGATCGAGCAACCTTCAATAATATCGTCATGGAAGGACTGGGCGAAGCCAACGAGACAAGTCTTGGAGAATGTCTTGGGGTGGGCGGTTGAATGTTTAGTTTGTTTCTTGAAGGGCGTTCAGAGTTTCAGTTTGATTGGGAGAGACCAGAAGGCTAAGCCTACACTATGGACATCATCGAATAGTCATAAAACAAACATCTTTTACATTTTGAATCAGATTATTTGATTATTTGTGTGACTTAAAGCACGCTGATTTTTTTGTAGCTGGCTGCATGCCTGGTGTACAGACCAGGGTGGCAGCAGACCTGTTTACAATTGTGATGGCTATATACATGTTGAGTGTCAACATTTGCACAACGCTATATCTGGAAAAGGCAACTAAACCAGCCAGACCCAATCTGTTCGCCACACATAGGGGTTCAACTTAAAGACTAAGTGCAATGTTCTTCTTTTAGGTTCCCGCAGCAGACAGGACAAAGTTTGTTTTTTCATCTCTGTTGCATTCTGAGAGTAGTAGGTAGGCAGAATCGTTCTTCCATGTAATCCATCAAACAGCAGGAATGCTTGTTATAGGACCCTTTAGCCCGTCCTTGTTGGGAAGGCTGTGGCACCAGGGGCCAGAATAGCCTTCCAAAAGCCCACGACCCGTTCCCTCAAATCACTGTTTTCATACTCCTCGTTTGTCTCTACAGCCCTGCCCAATAGAGCCAAATGAAAGTCCTTGCAATGTTCATAGCACGCAGAAAACTCGTCGATACAATTCAATCCGTATGCATTTGACGATGTTGCTGCACATCGAATTCTTTTGGGGATGGATGCACTTGCTGCAAACTCCTGGTGAACCAGGCACTTCGTTTGCTCTTTCGCAACGAAAGCGGCTCAGTCACCGGTCAGCGGCACGCCGCTGGTCACCGGTTGCGTCTCCTGAGTCCGACTCGTCAGGAGTGCAGCGAAAACGAAATCAGTTCGAGTCTCAGTGAAGAGATGACAGGAAGACTTGTTAACCAAAAACTTGTATCGTTTGCTTTAAAAAAGCACAGTTACAGTTTCCCTCAAACAAACTTTTTAACCAAATGATTCGAACTATTCTGCGTCCTACCTAGGAGCGTCCTGTACCTAGTAGCTTACTAGTCCGGGGGGAGCGGGATAAAAGAAAGAACACATCGTCACTGATCCTGCAGTTCCACTGATCTCGGTGCTCCAAGGTGTTTGTCTGTACTGTCTTCTGTGCCCCTTTTCCAGGAGATTTCCCGCACAGAGGCACGGTCGAATTCTTCGTCTCACGTCTTGGCGACGAGGTTAACATTTGTGGAACCCTTTGAGGTGGTTGTTGAGGGACGTTGTGTGATACCATATGTGTTGCTCTACTATATGTATATATACATATATATATATATGGAAGACTCTCTCTGTTGTGTTGGTGGGTCCAAACTAACTCAGAACCTAGACCGCCCCCCAATCATATACAAAACCCGCTCTGTAAAGGCGTGGTGTGATTGATCGCAAGACGATCTATTCTGTGGGTCGCAAGGTTCTCAAGTTGCGTCGCAATCTTGTTCTCATGGTATGAGTTGTTGGGCTTATCATGCTTCAGTTGGAGAACATCATCGACGCTCTCAAGATGGAGAGAAGGCCCCATGGCGCTGTGCTCAGTGCAGCGTGTTTGCAAAGGAGAGGGTAAACTATCTGTGTTTGCAACATATCATATGGGTGCTGTGTGCAATCCAACTTTCCAGAGTTTTATAATGTCTTCCTGCCTTTTATGGTGACAAGTTGGAATTCTGGCAGAATCGGTTCTGTGAATAGCATGAACGACGTTTGTTGCTTTGGCCAAGGAGATGTCATCATCAAACAAGGTGCGGGCTGCGGCAGTCTGTGGCTGTTTCTGTACATTTGTGTACCAGTGGTTTGCTTGTTTTGTTGAAGCATATGCTCTTGGATGCAAGCAATCAGCCAGACAAGCCCTGGACTTTTGCTCACACACACACACACTTGCTGGGTGGTCGTACTTTTTACCAGGAGAGCTTGGAGATCACTTTTACATTGTTTACGAGGGGCAGGCCACAGAAGTCACTTTTGACGGGGCTTTGGAGGGACCATGGCTTTGGGCAAATTGGCGGGGCGCATGGAAGAGCATGGCAGAGTGATCAGATTGACCAGATGGGCTGACCGGACATCATGAGGAGATCATACGCGATGTAGATCAGGTTGTTGTTGCCAGATCCAAGAAATATGAAGAGAACGGCATAGAAACACATAGAACGGCATAGGGTGTTTAGCTTCTGGTTTTGCACAGCACATGACGGTTCGTACCGCTCTCCACTGATCCGTCCGCTTCGTCGTTTTGCTTGCAGGTGATGGCTTCAAAGGTCACGCAAGACTCCACAGATCCGGTGATGATGATCCACGAGGCCATCGAAAAAGCATGGTAACAGGCCCCCACACACAACCGTGTGTTTGGAATGCATTGCGTTTAAACCAAGTGGTTTTGCTGTTTTTTGGAGCAAGGATTTAACAGCTCGGCAAGTGCCATGAGACTTTGTTTACATGAGCATGATTCTTCGAAGCTCACAACCCTTCCCACCTATTAAGAAGCACGAGGCCCAAAGATTTCGAACGGTGATGTCGCTGTGCCATGCAGTTTTGCTCCGCTCGGTGGAAAGTGCATTTGAGTGGCTCTGTGCCATTGGGGAAGGGTGTGCATTTCTGTGTAAAGTGTAAATTCGGCGTGGCGCTAGTGAGGGGCACGATTGGTGGTGTTTCTAGTGGGTGTGAGCCAGGGTCGACAACAGTGGACAGTCAGGGTTGCTTTAGGAACCTAATTCAAAACACCTGCCTAAAATCACCCATGTCATGTTGTTAGTTTAGTAGTAGGTTACGAAGACGTTAACCGTTAACTTGAACACGTCAGACGAATATAGGCCCTGTTGACGGGTTTCCGACATGCATTTTTTCAATGGATAGACTGTCTTGCCGCCCGCCCACCCAACCCCCCATCTTCCAACACGCATGTGCACGTAACATCACTTTCAAGGCACATCTGAATGAATGTCATAACCCCCTCCATTCGACCCCCTGCTTTTTCTCCACGCTTCTACTCAACCTACCTTGGTGGCATTTGGCACCATCTTGGCAGTGCAGACCCTGCGCAATAAACATCTTCGGACCAAAGAATGCGCGAATGGGTGACAAAGTGCCACCAAAAAACCATCTCCGATCGACCAAATCGAGACCGGGGTGGCTGAAATGCTTGGACGATGAGATTTCAACACTGAGGATATTGGGGTTCTTGGTCCCTCAAGCACAGGGCCACAAAATCTTCGCCTTCGGCGCCCTTTTCCGGAAGAGCATCCCCTTCTTTGTTTTGGTTTTGGTGATTTTTTGAGGCCTTTGAAGGTTTCTGATGGTCAACAAAACAGTTCATTGGCAACCAGGAGAAAAGGCTCAGATCGCTCACCAAAAGCTGTTCTATCCAAGTTGTACCTCCAAGACCATGGGTGAACTGGTTCACCAAGCACCAAGAAATCAGAATCCTGACTCCCTTGCTGTGTTTCCATGACTTTTCTTATGTTTGACTCTGCAAAGCAAAACTTAAAACGGGAGCCCCTAGCTGCAGGCGGGGGATTACTTCGGCGAGCTCGCTCTAATCCTGGACGCCCCGCGTGCAGCCAGTGTGGTGGCCAGTAGCGAGCCTGAGGCCGGGCGAACCCTGCGTTACGTCGCTAGAGGCTGAGGCTGAAGGTGAGGTGGTGAGGTGGTGAGGTTGTAGAGGTACAACCTTCGTATTTTTGTATCTTTTGCTTCACAACCTGCTGCTACTAACCTTTTGATTTCATAGGCACTATATTTCGTGCCAAGATCCCAACCAGGGCCCCTGACGGAACACCGAGTTGCTTTGCTGTTGCCGAAGGTTTGCTTGCTGTCCATGGACCGCGCTACTTTCAAGCGCATCACTGGTGAACATCGCAGGGATCCACGGAAGTTACCTGCAGATGTGCATCAATCAAGGTCAAAATGATATCCTCATCTAGCGAATGTTTGGTAATAATTTTCGCAATTTTCATAAGATTTATCGATTCCCTATTCATCTATGTGAATCAAGGTGCATTGCATGGCTACCTTGAAGCCAATACAAACCGTTATGAATGAAATTGATAGCTGGAAACCCAAAAATACTAAATATAATACATAATAAAACAAATTACTTTTAAAATATAATCTATAATATATATATATATACTTATAATATATAAAATATATAAATTAATATATTAAACACACTATATAATATTAAAGATATAATTGAATATTAAAAAAAACAAAAAATATATTAATTATTATATTTATATTTTATTTTGTAGCAATTGTTATGGGTTATTCGTATTGGATAATGATGGGATATAGAATTAGGTCGGACACTTCGAAGAATGTGAAAATACTAAGTTATGCAACGAAAATATTTAAGCGATATGGTTATTGAATATTTTATTAAAATTCTTTGGTTTTATGGGAATTGAATTTCTTGGGATATTTTAAATGAAATAAATAGAAATTTAGGATTATACCTTAAAAGAAGGATCGAACGAAAATTATGACAAGATAGGACAGTGCCGTTGTCCGAAAGGATATTACGATAATGGTTTGTGATTGGATTATCGTTTAAATGAATGATATTAATCGTTATAATAAAATTATGTTATTCTACATGGATGTTTTAGCGGTCATTGAAATTCGGAATTTATAAAGGCGTATATCGATCCCAAATGCCCGAATGCGTGATTTTTATGCCTATGACGGGAATTGAGACATCTGAATGCAATTCTAGGGGAATTACAAGAGAAAATATGAACGATTGGGTCTTGATGGTGCTAATTCAAAACTAGCTGTTGCAATGCAATGATGCCTTTAACAGGATATAACATGAGAACATATACAAATACATCGGTTTGATCCTCTGTCGACCTCAACAATCGTGCATTTCATCCGGCCTATATGTAATATGGGAGTGTTTTTTACAACAGATATTGACAAAATCATCCGGCAAATTCGCCGGCGTCGTGCTGGGCATGAATCGAATGGTTCTTGAACCAATCTGCAAATATGCGTCCCTATATATATATATATATAAATAATATTTATATTGAATTATTTTAGATATTAATCAAAAATAAAAATATATTTATTTTGATAAATTTGGAATTGATCGATTGTAAATGATCCTTATGATGTCGTTTTTAAGAAATGCTCCCCCATTCCTATAAATTAACTATATTATCGCAAGAAATATTCAATTAAAAAAACGATGTCTAATACCTAATTGTACAAAAATTAATGAAAATCGAATATAATCTAAGAAAATAAATAATCATTATATCCTTAATTATCTCTATTCTACAATATTCAGACATTTTAATATCCATCAAATCCTCTTATTTTGGTTCATTGGATTTAAAATAGAAATTTATATAATGATAATTGGTAGAATTTCGTTTTAGAAGGTATGGTTTTGATAAATTATTAGATATTGATCGAATATGATGTAGGGGGAGGCCGATTGTTCCACGAAAGATATATTTTAGAACAATATTAGAATGATACGTATGCTATAATGACCCCAATATATATATATATATTTATATTTGTACTTGGAAGATTTGATCGTGCTGAATTCCGATATACGGAATATATTGATACGTCCCGTCCTTGGAATCCTACCGGGTGGAATGACAGCAGCTGAGGTCTATGCCTTGCCGGTTTTCCCCATTAATGATATGGCAGGTTTCAGGGATGAGGCAAGGCATTTTATTCATCTTCAATGAGCAATAGTACCAGCCTTGACTCCAACGCCGGGGGAACCGGTAGTGACCGCCGCACCGGCCGTTGTTGCCTTTGATCCGGAAGCCGGATTTGCATCAGGGGAATTGAAATGATTGACCGTTAAATATTTGGATGGATATAAAACCATTGATCAAGGGGACGAATATATATAAGATCTTCCGGGCGGACTTCGCATCTTGGTGAAGTCTATGGATTTCGGGAATTATTCTATTTTCCGTCAACGACCATCATTGAATGACCCTAGAATCCTGCCTATTCAGCTGAACCCAATGGGGTGGCACAGTTGTGCAAGGAGGCCAAAATAAAGTGATCCTTGACAGGATCCAAGACTACGAGATGGCGTGTTGCCTATAAGAACTTGGGCTTCCAGGGCCACATGAGAGGCTGAGAACAATCACCAAAGCAGATGCCAACAATTGGAGGATCCAAGAATATTTCCAAGCGTCCATGGCCGTGGGGCAAGCATTGTTGGTTGATTAGTTGGACGCTTTCAATTTGTTGAGCATTGAGGTGCAATTTAGGCGGTTTCAAATCATTGAATTTTCGTTCGCACAGAAGGCGAGGGAGCTGGAGGCCAAATCAATGGGGGGAAGATTCTCGTTGGAAGAATAGATAACCTTTGGCGGGATCATCCGACAATTCTCGATCCTGATGATTTGTCCGGAGCTACTCACCCACGTGAAGGAGGAGACCGAGCGGGAGGCATCTCTGGCAAAGAATCTGAGGAAGGCGTAAGAGGAGAGGGGGGCTGCAAGACGTAGAAGCGGCAAGCAGTCGGAGAACCCTTGAATTACAGAGGATAGGCTGGTGAAGGTCCTAGCTGGCCTATTGAACAATCAGGATTTGATAATACCCCGGGGATAGATAAAGATATTTTTCCGTGACCTTATATACAGCAAACATTGCCGCCCTTGGGATTATTTTCATGGAAGAACCGATAGAGGATTGACTGGAGGAGGCATTTTGAGGAGGAAATTGACCATACGGTCTAATCGCTCAATGTGATGTATGGTCGGGCGCAAGCACGTTTTTTGGAATTCACTGAACAAGAATATAGGAGAGTTGTGGCATTGCCCAAGCTTTCGGCCCAGAGGCCCTTGAGGAGCTTCGGGTTTAAGAGGAATATGCCGAATTGCCTACGCCATTACCTCTCGGGCCCTTCGATCCCGAATTTGTGTCATTTCCAACGGGGGATAAGATGCCGGCGCCCCGTTACGTTGTAGGGCAAGGACGGACAACAAGAGGTAGAGGATTTCGTTCGCTCTCAGACGCTTGGGGCTGCAGAGGTTCACAGAAGGTGGAGGCGAGCAGCATCATGAAGTGCTATGAGGATCTATAATTCAGAGATCCGATCAAATACAAGCCATTCGTACAAACTCTCCACCGTTTGAACTTGGTCTCTTTTTATCGGGAGGCCCCAATTGAGAAGGTTGGCATTTTCTTTGTCAAAAAGAAAGGTGGAAAGCTGCGTTTAATCCTGGATTGCCGAAGGGCGAATTGCTGATTTGAGGGGCCGGAGGGAATCCATTGGCCACTGGGGACAACATTGGTCGATTGGACTTGCCTGACGAGGCGCCTCTCTGTGTGGGCTCAATAGACTTGCAGAACGCCTTTTATACTATGGTTATGCCGGAATCGTTGAATCCCTTATTTTGATTTGAGACGTATTTTAGCAAAAGATATGGGCCTGATCAACTTGGGAAGGTTCTCACTTCAACCTGATGAGTGGCTCTACGCAATGGTGTCATTCTGATGGGATGGCCCATGCCATGGCGTGATATTAACGAATTAATAAAAGGGTTTGTGAAGAAGCTGGGTTTATTCCATCAGAAAGGCTCAGAGATGGCAGCAAAGTGCCTTCGGGAGGTTTTTGGTACACAGAATATGTTGATAACTTGCATTTTTCTGGTGCAAACAGAACAGACATTAAGAATCGATTCTGGCGGGCTGTGGAGGCCCTCCGGGGCCGGGGGCTCACTACGCGTGAGATAGAGGTGAATGAGGGGGAATGCCAGGTGCTTGGCTGGGCAGTCGATTGTGCAGCAATTTTTGACCCGACCTTTCAGAGATTGTGGAGAGTTAGGCTGGCTGTTTGTGAAATCTTGAGGAGGAATGTAACAAGCGGCCAACAGCTAGAAAGACTACTTGGGTACATCATCTTTATCTCCCTATGCAGAAGGAAAATTCTATCGACGCTTAGTAAGACCTACATTTTCACCCGAAAAAATTAGATAAGAATTGCGGCTTTGCGGAAAATATGAAAAAGGAACTTAACATCTGGGATGGGATTATACAATTGATTTTTATCTATCTTCGTATACCATGGTTCACTACCCTGGATTCTTCCGATTGGGGAATGGGAATTATCACATCAATTGTCACTCGAGAGGAAGCTTCATCACTAGGAAAATATACAGAGAGGCGGAGGTTCAAAGATCCGCTGGCCAAGAATCCCCGTCGATATGCATTGATGGTTTATGCAATCGGAGCTACAGCAGAGGGGCGAGAGCAGACAGAGATTTGGGCTGTTTTTGGGGTGCCGGAGTTGGCTTCAAAGTTTCAGGCTATCAATTTTGAATTTGTCGACCGACCGTGGAAACTAATTGGTAGATATCGATGGTTGCGGGAAGAGTCCATGCCAATTTTTGAGGCGAGGGCCACGCAAGATGCAATCCGACATTCATTAAATATGGTTCACAGCCAACAAACTAAACTAGTGATTTTGAAGGCTCCATGATGACAGCGGTTTCTTTTGACAAAAGAAGATCCCAGGGATATCGTCTGTGGAGAATCTTGCAGCAGACAGCGGCTTTGTGTTTGGGCTCAGGGCTCTGTTTCAGGTCCCGCTGGATCCTTTCGGAATGGAATCCGATTGACCGACCTAGCCGGAGTGATTGGATACCTTCCATTCCTTGGCACCTCCAAATAGAGGATATATCGCCAACTGAAGAATCGAATCACAAAGGGGGCAACCAATGGGAATTTCCCTTCCTTCAAATTTATCTTCAAATATAGTATTGACGAAACCTTTTAAAACTACATCCATTCATATGCATGAATTTTAAATATTATTATTAAACAATTTATTAATCCTCCGGCAATAATATATTAATATAATATAAAAATATTTATCCTAATTGCAAATCGATTCATATATATTTTTATCTATTCGATATATTAATTAAAATAGATTTTAAATATCTATTTAAATCTAAAAATCATAAATATATAATAAAAAATCAATATATCCATCAAATATATATATATATATTTCTTTTTTATTCATATTATATATATTCATTCATTCACGACCGGCGGAGCGAATCCGCCCG